AAAAAAAAAAGCCTTCCAAGATAGCTAGCAGACGTCATTTGAATCAAAACTTTCCATGGCCCACCACCACCTACTTTTTCGTTTATGAGAATTGGAACATTTAAAGAAGTGCCACTAGCCACAAACTGCTAAACCAAAAGCTAAAGTCAGATCCAACGTAGTGTAAATGCGGAGTATACTCTGAGCCATGTTACAAGGTTCAGATTTAGTTGTTTTTCATGGTGTATAAGGCAGGATGACTCCCTCCCCCGGTGCTGGGAATTAAATCCAAGACCTCCCGCATGTTAGGAAAGCTCGTGCTAGGTACATCTTTAGCCCTGCAGGGTGACTTCTGAAGGGAAGGAAAAGAATGTTAGAGCGTCTTAAGCAACTCTGATTTTTTCCATAGTAACTGATAATACCAACAGCCAGCGTCAGGTTCTTTACGGAAATTGCATTATTTTTAAAAAAGTTTTTTTTTAACTTCTTAAAAATTTCTCTTTTTATGTGGTGCTGAGGATCAAACTCAATGCCTCTCACGTGCTAGGTACCCCAGCCCAGAAATTGCATTACTTTTTAAAAAACGCCCCATATTGTCATGTGGAAGAAGAGACATTATAAATCGTGGGATGTTGCAATTTCTAAAAAGTAAATGATAAAGGGTTGAGAATGCAAATTTGGTGGTTGAGGGCTTTTTTTTTTTTAATTAGTTGCTCAAGACAATACAATGATCTTGACATATCATACATTTGATTCCAATAGGGTATGAATTCTCATTTTTCCACGTGTACAGATTGCAGGATCACATTGGTTATACATCCGAGGGCTTGTTTTGAATGCACAAAACCCTGGGTTCAATTGCCTGTTCAAAATTTTAAAAGTAAGGGGCTGGGGCTGTAGCTCAGTGGTAACAGTGCTCACCTGCCAGCACTAGATTTTATTCTAGCACCACATAAAAATAAAATAAAGGCTAAAAAAAAAGTAAAATAATAAACCATTTAAAGCCGTTTAGTCACTGTAGTTCATCAACAGATTCATTGTTCTTGATACACTTGATGGCAACTGTCTTGCTGGAAAAGTTTTTGTAAAATGTTTGGTTTTTAAGGAGATCTTATAGTTTATTACTTTTGTTGTTTCATTCGTGGTCCTGGAATTCAGGTTGGAATTGAGTACCTCATGTGAAGTATGGGTTCTACCATTGAGCCCCTAGTCTTGTCTTATTTTTCATTTAACATTTTCTCCAGGACACTTGCTGGGTTCTTCTAAAGTGTAGACACTTAGTTTTTGGTGTTACTAAGTTAGTCAAAACCAAATTTTTTTGATTAAAAGCAGTATTTTATTTTTTTTCAAAATATGAATGAGTGGCTCAAATGTATCATTTTCATGAATTTTTTGTGTGCTTATTATTGGTTTGAATATCATATTGTATAAACTTATCTTGGCTTTAACAAGTTTATCAGTCTGAAAAAAGCTACCTAGCAAAAAATGTCCTCAGTGTTGTCATATTTTCACTAACTCAAATCTCATCCCTTCCCCCCCC